GCCTGCTCCAGGCACGTGGGCCCCTCGGGAGCGCTGCAGCAGACAGGGTGGCTGGGAGGACAGGGCCCAGGGCGGCGTAGTCAGGAGAGCGGGAGGAACAGCCAGGATGGGAGAGGCTCTGAGCCGAGCCGGGTGTTCCGGAGTGTGAGAGGCTGGGGTCTGCCGCAAGGCCGGTCTGCGGGATTTGATCAGCCGTGGAGAAGCCGCACTCCCAGAGGTCCAGCTGGGAGTGTCCCTGCCAGCGGACCAACAGACGTCCAAGCCACGTCAAGGCCAAAGCGCCGGGAGTGGGGACTAGCAAAACAAAAGTGTTTACCAAAGTAGAACACGCCCGTTCAAAGGTTACTGGGGAGAACAATGAGAGGTAGGAATTTTAACAGCCTGGCGCAGGTATTTCCTGGCGCCTAACAACCCGAGACACTCTGTTCCATCTGTAGTTTTCAGAACTGGGTAAAAAGCCTCCATCATTATTAAGGGGCAAGGTGGCCCTGAGGACATGACCGGGTTTTATAGGCCCAGTATCCATATTTCAAGGCCAGGCACTCTGTCTGTGGCTGGGCAGAGAGGGAGGCCACCCCACAAAATAGCCCACGTCGCAAATCATTGCTGGGGGAGTAAATGCTCTGTTCTTACTTCAGTACCCAGAGAGCTTAGAGCAGATTTGAGCAGCTGAGCTCCAGACACGGTCTGTCCCTAGGACTGGGATTCACCGTCATAGGCCTTCCTCCCGAAGAGCGGCACCCTTCCCCGGAGCTGAGCACGAATGCATGCGAGGTCTAGGTCTCTCCCCAGTCTACCGTGGGTAGTGTTTACATGACAATACCTTATTTGAGGGTAGGCACGAGCATTTAAAGTTGAATTCTCTGAAGGTCAAGTTCTGGGTGTGACTGGTTTTTGTTGTTGTTTTCTGCCAGTCACTGGGCTTGCAATCATGACCTGGTCACTGTCTCAGCTTCTTTTGCTCAAGGCTAGTGCTCTACTTCTTGAACCACAGCTCCACTTCTGGCTGTTTTTTGTTGTTGTTGTTTTGTTTTTTGGTGCTTAACTGGAGATCACTGAGCCCGTGGCCTTTCCTGCCTGGTCCGGCTGTGAACTGTGCTCCTCAGATCTTATCCCTGAGCAGCTGGGATTGCTGGGTGCTGAAGGATTAGGCTAGGATTACATGGCCGGAGCCACCAGCTCTCAGCTGACTGCTGCTCTGAAGGCTGTACTGAAGGACAGAATGCTAGAAGAACACTTGGGCTGTGGCTTTGTTATGAATTTGATCTTGTTTTCTTCTTGAAAAGCTCCTCTAAGAAAGGAAGATCGGGTTGGCCTTCAATCAGATGAGTCATCCAGTTCCCTTTCTGTTTATGGAAGTCTCAGTCCTCCCTTCCAATCTCAGGGTCCCTGACTCTCCAGTCCTCGGAAGCCCGCGGTGGTGACTGAGGGAGCCCTCTCAGTCCTTCGTAGCTGGCCCCAAGCTCGTCTTTCTCTAGTCTTCCCTCTGGAAGCTCTTGTGCTGCTCCACCTGGGCCAGTCACAGATGACAGGCAGGCAAAGGGGTTTGGTGGGGGAAGTAGGTGCTTTCCGGGCCCTGGAGTAAACACACTGTGGCTGTCTAAATGCTCTGTTCATTCATCTATCCACGTGTGCATAAGTCCACGCATGCACGCACCCATCTACCCATGTGTGCATCCATGCACACATGTGTTCATTCCATTTTGATGGAGCAGAGGCCTTGCTCTCACTAAGGACTGGCCACCAGAATGAATCAATGGAACTTTGTCTTCAAAGAGCACAGGGTCTACTCACACTAGATTATGATGAATGCCAGGTGATGGAGGTGTGAACAGAGATTTTAGGGCCCCAGGAAGGGGCATTAGTTCTGGAGAGAAAGTGCTAACAACCTCACAGGGAAAGTCTGGCATGTCTGGACCTGGGGCATAGACAGAGGCAGGTATTAGCAAACCAGTATCCTCCTCTGTCTAGAGGACAGAGTGGGAGGAGGGAATTCACTTTCCTCATCTGAAAATGGAGAACATGCCAACATGTGCTGCACGCACCCACAGCCATGGTGGTGTTATGAAAGCAGCTCACTTAGGGTAGCATTCTTAGACCAGGGTCTGGCCAGAGCCAGTCTGCTGCTGGCTTGCTGATTGTATAACACATATCTGCTCCAAGACTGCCGCTGCCAGTGTGCCCAGGGGCCCTGTGACGTCACGCACCCGTGGCAGGATCTGTCTCTGTCGCTGGGGACAGGCCAGTCTCCTTTCCTCTGAATACTTGGTGTGTTTGGCTTTACTCTCGTCTTGTCCTCTATGAGAGATGGGGGTGGGGAGGTGGAGCTGGAGCCATGGGCCTCCAAGGGGAGAGGCCGCGGAGCCCTGCCTCCCCCTCCCCCACGGGGCGGGCGGGGGAGGGGTGGGGAGGACAAAACTCAAACCTGAGGGTTCATCCCTCCGCTGCTCTGGGAGGCTCACACCCAGCCTGGGATAGATTGACATGTTTTAAAGCCATGAGATTTGGCAGGCAGGCGGAGTCTGGGGTGGATATGGCTGATAAAGCGACTCAGGGAGCCAGCGGCTGTTTCTGAAAGATGCCAGAGCTCAGAGCAGCGCGCCCCTCACCGCGGCGTGCGGGTCACTGGGGCTTGAGTTCACAGTGTGTCCCCCGGGAGCCACCCTGCGGCCCTGTGGTAGGAATGGGCTCCATCCGCCCGGGGCTCACTGCCCACAGCAGCTGCCTTCCCAGGCCTCTCGCAGGGCGGGTCTTCAGCCGGAAGGTCAGGGCCTCCTCTGGAAGCCTGGCGCGGCGTGGAAGGCGCCCGCCCCCCAGCGCACTGGCCAGGCATCGAGGTCCGCAGTGAGTCACAGCTACCTGGCGCCCCACAGGGACAACACGGAGGGCTTTCCAGAGGCCAAGACAGCCTAGAGCAGCCTTGCCTCACAGTGGCCTCCCCACTTCACAGACAAGCCAGCCAAGAAGTTAGGTCACCTAAAATAAGCAATTCAGAAATGGGGGGTTGTTGGGTGGGGGAAGAAAAGCCATGCCACCCTGGTGGGCAGGGCGAGCGGGCCGCGTTTATACATTCTGCGCTCTGCGTCTTGTTCATCTCGGGCTTCAAGCACTTGACTGGGGCGGGTCCCGCCTCCAGGGCCGGCTGCCAGCGAGGCCATCTGCTTCTGGGGCTGCCCCGCCCGCCGCCGGCCTCCTCCCAATGACGGGCTCTGGCTGGCTCCAGCCCCGAGGGAAGCTCCAGGAAAAAGATTTCTGCAGCCTCTTCTTCAGGAGCCTCCTCCTCAGCCACGGGGGCTCCGGCTTGAGGGCACTGGCCTGTCAGATGGGACAGACGCCATCCCTGTTCCGGATCCCAGCAGCACTTAGCTTGTGAGCCTCCCGAACCTGAGGTCACGCAGGGTCACCACCTGCCCAGCTCCTGCTCTCCCTGCAGAGGACGCCGCGGGCCTCCTCTCCACAGTGCCTCGACACCAGCTCCCCTTCTGGGCCTGGAATGGGCACCGTGTCCGCCTACCTGGCCAGCCAGCTCTCCTCAGGCCTGGCCTCAGGGCCCCTCATTTTGCCCCTCACAGCACAGCTTCATGCACACGGCCTGTGGAGGTCTGTCTCTGAGTCTAAGCTAGCTGGCAGGGGTGACAATGGTCTGTAGCTCCCAGGCCTGGCTGTGGCTCCAGCAAGCTCAGCCATGCTTCCAGACGGCCCTGTGCGTGGTGGCTGCTGTCCTGTGACACACGGGCCTCTTCCTCGCCTTCTCACCGCGTCAGGCGGCCTGGCAGGGTCCATGTGCCGTGACCCCGTCACAGTGCTCTGAACAGCCTTCCGGCAGCCACGAGGTAGAGCCACTCACGTGGCGTGCTGGTCCTGGCATTTTCCCAGCAGACACGTGATCCTAATGTTCTGTGCAAACACAAAGGAGAGCTTCCACATGGCAGGCAGCAGCCAGGGTTGAATGTTCACCCTGGGGACAGGTATGGAGGCTGGAAGCCTAGCCAGGTTAGACCTGGGGGAGAGGGAGGGAGCCCAGGGAGCAGGAGGAGGGGCCATGGTGGCCACTTGCTCACCAGCGCAGCCTGGCTGGCTCTGGAGGCTCCAGCCTGGGGCCTGGGGCCTGATGGCCAAGTCTCTAGTCAGGTGACCTTCGGGTTTCCTGGCTGGGGGCATGGCTCTAACTGAGAGGTAACCCCCCCCCCCAGCTACCTGAGTGGGCGTCCCCACTGCTGAGGTCAGAGCCGGCCACACAGGGACCACCCAGCCGCAGAGGTCAGGCGGATGAGGGGTGCGGGGCTCAGGTAGGCTGGCCTCGCCCACTGGGCCAGCACCCAGGCTCAGATCTGGGCACGGGGAGGGGTGCAGAGCTGGCAGGGACGGGGCAGGTGGATGGGTCTGCTGGGGTGGGGATATCCTGGGGTTCCCAACTGCTGGAACACAGGTTTGGTTTCACGCTTCCAGACGCGCTTCAGGATGGGTCTGGGGAGGGGTGGGAGACACAGACGTGTCAGGATGGTTGTCCTGGCCAGAGCAGAGTCCCGGAACCCAGGCAGCAGCTGACCGTGGCAGTGGAGGTCCGTGTGGTTCTGAGGACAGCTCAGCCCTCACGCCGCCTCCACGTGCAGGGCTGGGCCTGGCGCCTGGCTCACGAGCACCCGCTCGCACACGGCCACTGTTAGGATCCATCACAGACATCCCAGGGGACCACACAGAGGCGGGCGGGTGCAGGAGAAACACGACTGTAAGGTTCATAGAGGGGCCACATCTCCCCAGGAGGGGAGCAGAATGCGTCAGCTCTCGTCCGTCCGGGTGGGTAGCTCTGGGGGCAGCGGCATTTGCAGGAAGGTCTGGGGTTGTTGGAGAGGGGGTGGCCAGCTCTGTGGTGGGAATTTTAGGGCAGAGAGGAGCTCAGGCCGGGCTGGAGCTGAGGCCCAGTAGCGGGATAATGCAAGGACTGTGAATTGAGTTCAGCTTCCAGCTGTGCCTTCCTGACCGCTCCCTCTCCCCTGCAGGGCCCTGGTCTTTGTGTCCCATGGCGCCGGGGAGCACTGTGGCCGCTATGAAGACCTGGCTCAGATGCTGCTGAGGCTGGACCTGCTGGTGTTTGCCCATGACCACGGTGAGTGCAGGGAGCAGGCCCTGCCGCCTCTCTCCTCTGCCTTCTTCAGGGCTGAAATGCACAGCTCTCTCTGTAAGTAGAACAGTGTCTGCCCAGCGCTCCTGCCCAGGCTGAGCCCATGTGCAGGTGATTGGAACTCTCCGGTGAAAACCTCAGGTTGAATGTGTTTACATAAGCACTTGCCCCAGGGCCAAGCAATCTTCAGTTATGTTTATAAAGTGCTTTCTCTCCAAATGGGCCTGGTTTTCTCCCTAGGGACTCCAAATGGATGAGGTGAGGCAGTTCAAGTTCAATTTAAATCCGGGATTACCCGGGAGAGACTCACAAAGCATCTCTCAAGAGAAAGCATAGACACAAGAACACCGGCACGCACACGCGTGGCCATGCACACTCACGCATAATCTATGTAATACAAGTGTGCACAACACTACACACATGTGTGATACATGTAGACCCATGAGTACATTGTGTGTGCTGTCTGTGCGCACGTATCTGAGTGTGCACACACACCTCCACTGCCATCACAATGTGTGGCTCACACATCTGTGCAAATTCAGTCCTGCCTGTGGTTCTCCCAGTTTTGTTCTTTGTCTCACAGTCTTTAAGCATTCCCTGTGGCTGAACATGGTGTTTTCCCTCAGCCTCAGTGCAGAAACACACATCTGGCTTGAAAACATGTAATTAGGTAATGCGGCTGAGAAGAGGGCGCGGGAGCCAGGCAGGGCCATGAGTCCTCTGGAAGGAGAGGCTTGTGTCTGCACAGACACTAGCCAGAGGGCGGCCGCTGGGCATTGCCTATGGAAAGATCTGCTCATTTGCTTTTCCAGGAGCCCTTTCTGAATGTATAGATGCAGTGTCCCCCAACTGAGGGGAGACTAAGTGCTTCCCTGTCATAATTGTAGTGTTCTCTAGTGCTCTGCAGTCATCTGGCAGATGGTTTTCTAGATTACTCCCAGCTTCTTCTGTGGGACTGTGTCATCACTAGCTGGACCTTTGCATACCCTGTAAGGGCCTGGCTCTCCCCCCCCCCTCCATTAGAGATGGTGGTAATCTCATCATTGCGTTGGAGATGTCTTCAAGGAAAGGAAGAGTTACACTATGCAATTTCAGTATCTGCCTTGAACTTCAGTATCTCTTTATCAGATGGACTCCCCCAAATCTGCAGAATTAAGTAAACATTCTGAAGGTGACATCTGAGAAAATGCTTTTCTGAAGGGACTCTTTTCTGAAATCTTTTGTGTTTGTCTTGGGCTTGAACTCTACATCTGGGCACTGCCTTTGAGCTTGCCTTTTTCCTTCTCTCCCTCCCTCCCTCCCTCCCTCCCTCCCTCCCTCCCTCTCTCTCTCTCTCTCTCTCTTTATTTCTTTCTTTCTTTGTTTCCTCAATGCTAGCACTCTACCACTTGAGTCATAGCTTTACTTCCGGTGTGTGTATGTGTATGTGTGTGTGGTTAATTGGAGGTATGAGTCTCACAGACTTGCCTGATGTGTGTGTGTGTGTGTGTGTGTGTGTGTGTGTGTGTGGTTAATTGGAGATATGAGTCTCACAGACTTGCCTGGTGTGTGTGTGTGGGGGGGGGGGTTAATTGGAAATATGAGTCTCACAGCCTTGCCTGGCCTGAAGGGACCTTCTTTAAAGTAGAGGGAGAGGGACTGGGAAGGTGGCTCAGTGGTAGAGTGCTAGCCTCACATGCATGAGGCCCTGGGTTCCATTCCTCAGTATCACATAAGAAGAAAAAAGCCGGAAGTGGCGCTGTGGCTCAAGTGGTAGAGCGCTAGCCTTGAGCTGAAGAGCTGAGGGACAGCGCCCAGGCCCAGAGTTCAGCCCCCATGACCAACCAAAAAAAAAAAAAAGATGTTTCTGGGGCAGCATCTAAACTGAGGTAAAGCCTTTGTGACTAAACAGAGTGGGAGTAGCCATTGTGCCTGTATTGAGCTCTCTAAATGACTTGTGGAAATTCCTCTGACATGGACCTAATGGGGAAGTTGGTCTCAAGAAATGAGCCCAGCTGAATGTATGTGAGAGAAGAGGGTACCTCCAGGGACGGGCGTCTCCAGAGACAGGTACCTCCAGGGACATGCAGTGTTTGTTCTTTCCTATGGTTTTAAACTAGGAGCAAGTCACGTTGAGAGTTGGTGAGGGCACTCACTGTGCATATGTCTAGATCTGAAAGTCCTGTTGGGGCCTGTGGGCTGGCAGTGCCAGGACAGGCCAGCGCCCCCCTCAGCCACACCGCCTGCCAGCCCTCTGATGTGTTGGTGGAGCTCGCTTCTGCACCCTCTTCCCTGACGCCAGCCTCTCAGACCTGGGCCCGCAGCCCCACTCAGCAGGGAGTCCACACGGTTGCCCTGGGCCTCGTGCGCCCCTTCCCCAGCCCTACTTTGTGCACCTACGCATGCGTGAGGCAGCCCTGTCCCGTGCTGCAGCTGGTTCAGTGGGGCTGCACCTCCCTTCTGCCTGGCACGGTGCAGACCAGCTCCGTGGACGTGACCCGAAGGCTCAGCGCAGGGCATAGCTGGGGGACGTGGGGCTCTTGTCCCGGCATTGCGGGTCATCTCTGCAGAGGTAAACACACAGCATGTAGGAAACGCTTTACAAAGTGACAGAGACTGTCGTGGTTTCATTGCTGCGTCCTATGAATCTCACACTGACCGGCTTGATTCTCGGTCTCGCCACACAGTGACTTCTAACATTTCACCGTGTGGGCAGGAACCTCGCGGAGCTGTGGTTGTAGCTGTCTGGCGGGTGGCCTGGGGTGCACCAAGTGGGCTCCGTAAGGATCCAGTTTAGCTTTGTTTTCTGTTTTAACATAAGGAGATTTCTGGAATGTCCTAGTGGGTGGCCTGTCAGGATGGAGTCCCTGTGGGCCCACGCTTGGTGCTTGTTCTGTTGTGTCTCAGATTCCTCCTAACGGTGAGTGTCCCCATCTCGGTCACAAGTCCCTGTGCCGGGGAGGAAGCGGGGTGGGTGAGGAGCTGCGGGGGCCCAGCTCCAGCCGTGCTCCTAGCGCGTGGCTGTCACGCTGGTGTGCCCAGCACGCTGCACACCCCGACCCGAGGCACACGAGGCAGCAAGCCACAGGGGAAGGGCTGGGCTCACAGGACGGCAGCCAGCCCTGCGTGTGGCCTCTCTCTCTCAAATCTCACAGCCAGCGCGCCGTCCCAGGACAGCTAGCAGGAAGTGAGCAGCAGAGGGCGACTCGCTGGTGGCCGCTGAACAAGGAAGGGTCTTGGTGAGGGACCAGCAGGCGGTGGACCAGCTGTCCACCCCTGTCACACCGCGCTCTCGGGTGTGTCCCATGGGGGAGGCCTCCGGCCAGTTCCGCCGTGGACGTTTCTGGTATGTCGGGGAGCGCGTGTTCCCCCGAGTCCCATGCATCCCCCCGCTCTTGCAGGGCGTCGGCGCCTCGCTGCGCGTTTGCTGCGTGCGGGCGCTGTGTGAGCAGGCACAGACAGCGCTGCGCTGCCGCCCTGGCCAGCGCGCGACGCGGTCCCTGCACACACAGACTCTGTCTTACATGCTGTGTGTCGGTGCCCCTCTCTGCTCCCGTCATCCGTGATAGCCCAGGACCAAGCAGAGACCAGAAGCGTCCAGAGCGTGTGGTGCAACACTACAAGAATTTGTAACTCAAGCCAGGTGCGGGTGGCTCACGCCTGTCATCCCAGCTACTCAGGAGTCTGAGAGCTGAGGATCACAGTTCACAGCCAGCCCAGGCAGGGAAGTCCGTGAGACTCTTATCTCCAATAAACCACTAGAAAACTGGAAGTGGCGCTGTGGCTCAAGCGGTAAGCACTCTACCTTGAGCTGAAGAGTGCAGGGGCAGTGCCCAGGCCCAGAGTTCAAGCCCCACGACTGACAACCACAACAACATAAAAAGAATTCGTAATTCAGATTAGATCCTCCCAGAAGTGTTTTCAGTGCAGAGTAGGAGGTTTGTAGTCTGTGAGCATCGTGGGGAGGGTGCGCTGCCCTGGAGCAGGTGCAGACGTGTGGTTACTGGAACCCCGCATCTTGAGGCCAGGGGATCGAAGGAGTGGCCAAAGGCCTGCGGATGTGGCAGAACAGAGCAGCCACAAGGCTGCTCCTTGGAGACACCGGCATCCCAGATCCTGGGGCCTGGTGGGGGCTGGGTCATCCATTGAGAGCCATGGCTCTATCTCGTCTGTGGATGGAGTCCCTGCAGGCCCTGACAAAGATGGCTGCCTGGCCTCTCCCTGAGGTCCTAGGTCTTGGTGGGGCCAGACACTGGGGTTTCAAGCACCTAGGTGAGTCTGATGTGCACTCAATTGAGAATCTGCTGTGCTGTGAGCCAGAGAAGCCACGCAGCCTGCAAAGCTGAGGACATGATGCCACACCTGGCCCAGAGCTGAGGAGGTACTGTGCCAGGCACCTGTGTCCCCTAGTCAGGCAGAAATCCCGCAGAGGGCGGGCCCTGGCCTGCGCAGCCCAGTGTCTGTGAGCAGTCCCAGAGCCACAGCAGCCGTGCGGCAGGGGAGGCACAGCTGGGCAGCGCAGGAAGGACTCTGGGCGGTGTGGGTCACCAGAAGAGGGAATCCAGGGCAGAGCCCCTGTAGAGACAGGCTGGGGGTTGGCGGGAGAGGAGTGGCCCATTGCATCTGCACCCGATAGGTTTCCTGTGACGTTCTAAATCTAGCTGGGAGAAAGCCCAGGTGGGCGTGCCTGTGGCCCCCGGTGCCAGCTGCCTGCCTGACTCACTGGAAACGCCATCTTCCCCACGGGCAGCTGGCCAGGATGACTAGAGAGATGGCCAAGTGAGGTTGGGGACAGACGGAAGTCTGGAGCCTGTGGCGCCCCGGGTGTGTCTGACCCCAGCTCCCTAACGGGCACAGTAGAACCCGGCTTGCTGCTGGGGCGGGACTCGGGGCACAGTACCCACTTGCTCCACTCCGCTGAGGAACACTGCCCGGGAGCAAGCGTGTGGAAATAATTTGCTGGGGTCAGAGCCTTCTCTGTATTTACAAAGTATAAAGGAGCCATC